GCCCTGGGAATGACATCAGAGTCACAGTCTGAGCCTGCACTTTAGCATGTTGCCAGTTGGGGTTGGCGACCCTCCTGAAGGTCCCTAAGTCTCACCTGATGCACAGAAGGGTTTCGAATCTTTGACCTGGAGACCATGTCGCCAGCTTCTTGCCCTCCTGACTCTTACTGTACCTTAAGGCTAGTCTGCCCCGACCCTGGCCAGGCTGTGCTGCTCCCCTCTGCCTCAGCGCTCACCACATCAAGTGGGAATGATGGCTTTACGCTCTGTGTCCCATGAGCATCCTGGCTCAGGCGCTGGGCTGGTGCCTGCTGGGTAAATGGAACCTCCCGCGGCGTGGTGCTCACCGACGTCGTGGATGAACTGCTCGATCTTGGCCTGCATGCCCCAGTACCGGAACTCGACCTTGCACAGCTTATAGGCGCACATGAGGGGCCCCGTCTGAGCCGCCTTGTGTGCCCAGTCATCAGCCAGCGGTCCTCGGCCGGTCTTCACGGAGCGGTACAGCCGGGGGTCCTCTTCTGCTTTGTACTCTCCTGGGGCCACTGCGTCCCGCACGATGTCTATGGTGTCTGAGGGGGTGCCAGCAGCACTGAGCACCGCCAGCCCCCTCCAGCCCCCGCCACCCCCCTCTGCCTCCGGATCGGGAGGACATCCTTTTGAAGACGGGAAGCCACGGCCCGAGAGAGCCTGGGAACTGTCAGAAGCTACCCATCGAGGCGTCAGATAGCCTGAGAGGGTCCCCAGCCCCCCGCCCCCCGCCACTGGCTTCAGGCCTCACCCAGGATGCGCTGTCTCCTCTCAGCCCCGCTCAGGTTAAAGACATTTGGTTGCTGCCCCCCATCAGGCAGATAATAGGTCTCTATTTCAATGGAGAATTTCTCCACAAAGGGGCAGGTGTACCTGGGCAGAGGTTAGGAGCAAGGGTCACTGCTGTGCCCACCAGGGCTCTTCCCCTTGTGGCCCCAGGCCTGTCCCGCCCACTCACCGGGTCCGGGTGTAGGGATAAGCGTTCCAGGATTCTTCCTCCACCTGCAGGGCGGCCTTGGGCAGCAGCGCCCGGAACCAGCCTGGGATGTGGGAGCCCACGTGGTACACCTTGTGTGTGTACTGCCCACTGCCACCGGGCCCATCTGTGTAGGGCCTGTTGGCCAGGATCTCCACGCCACTGCCCTCACCACTCGACTCCTCCCGGCTCTTTTTCTGCAGTCCAGGACAGAGCAGAACGTGGAGCTCAGCTCCAGCTCAGCTCCTGGGATCCCAGCTTTCCCTGGGCCCCTGGGGTGCTAGTCCTAGCCTTTCCAACGCCCTGTGACCCTACCCTGCCCCCTGCTGCTCCTGGGGTCAGGATCACAGCTGCTGTCCAGTCCCCCACGGGTTCTGCAACCCAATACTCATTCAGTCAGTCAAGTATCTATTGAGTGTCTGCTTCAGGCCAGGCCTTGTTTAGGGTTATATTAGTCAGGATATGTTGGACAGAATAAAGACCCCTGCCCTCGTGGAACTTACGTTCTAATGGAGGCAGACAGACACAGAAAAAGCAAATTATATGGTATGTTGGAGATAAAGTGCTATGGGGAAAAGAGAGCATAGATTAGGGTAAGGGGGGTTGAGATAAGGGTTGCATTTCCATAGATGGGCAGAGAAGGCCTCGGGAGAAACATCTGAACATGACTTCAAGGAGGGGTGGGAGGCGCGGAGTGGACGTGGGGTGGGAGGAAGTGTGCAAGGCAGAGGGGAGCCAGTGCAGGCTCCTGAGGCGGGAGCACGGTGCACATGCTCCAGGGGCAGCAAGGAGGCCGGGGTGGGTGGGCTGAAGAACTGAGGAGAGTAAAAGGGGCCCTACCACTCTGAGGACCTGACCCTGGACCCCTCCCTCTGTGGACCCCACAACCAGCCCCTGCCACACCCCTCCGAGTCGGAGAGCACTCAGATCCTGCCCTTTTATAGCTCTGGAGCCCAAACTTGGCCCACGCCACCTCGAGGCTGGATCCTGGCCCTCTTGCCCCTGAAGACTGATCCTGAAACACGTCTGGAACAGGCCTCCCTGAGGGCCTGGGCCAACCCTCTCCCCTCTCTGCGAGCCTGCCTGGCCCATTTTTCTCACAGCCCAAGCCAGGCCCTACTCCCTTCCTCTTAGCCCAGACCTCCCTCGCTTATCCTCCGGGGTCCTCGACTGCCCCTGTGCTTCAGTTTTGGTGCCTCATCCCATCCCATCCTCACCCCCTCTCCCTGACCTGGGCTTTGCCAGGATCCTGCGGACTCTGGGGACCCCCTCCCACTCCCTGCCTCTCACTCTTGCCTCCCCATGTACTGCCTACCCCTACAGGATTACAGATTCTAAGGAGGATTAAAGGAGATCATACATGGGCCGGGCACTGGGGGGATGGGGAGCCAGGCTAGGCCCTTCTGCCTTTCCCCCCACAGCCCTTACGATCTCCCCCTGCAGCGGAAGGGGGACCTCTCTCTCCTCCTCTGGCTTCAGCCCTTTCCAGGCCCGGAGCAGGACTGGTGGGGCTGAGCCCCAGCCCCCTGTCCCAGGTGCGGCCTGCATGCTCCTGCATGAAGTAGGGCCCCCTTGGCCCCCCGCTTCCCATCGCTCTCACCAGGATCATGTAGAGCTGGGCCACCTGGTACTCGTCCAGGCTCATGGGCAGCAGAATGTGGTACTCCTTGATGAGCATCCTGGAAGCGCTCAGCGGGATGCGCGCGGCCTCCGCTCCGCCTGGCGCAGGGCACGGCGCGGCAGTCAGTGCGGGGCGGCGGCGCGCAGTCCCGAGCCCTGCGCGCAGGCCGAGGGGTTCGGGCCGCAGGACCCCATGCCCGGGCCCACCACCCGGGCGGCAGAAGCGAACCCAGCGCTGCCGCGGGGAGCCGGGAGCCGCAGCGAGGCTGAGCGCTGACCTCTTTTCGGCGTAGCCCCCGCCCCCCGCCAGCCCGTCTCCATGGCAACCGCGAGCTGACGCGCGCCCCCCGGAGCAGCGCGGGGCTGGCCACCCTCGCCTTTCCCGCCGCGTTCTAAGTCCCCTCGGAACAGCATCCCTCGGGGACCCGCCCACTGGAGCCCCCGCGCCCCTCCTCCCCGGCCTGCCTTCCACAGGCGGTCCCTCGGGCCGTCTCCTGCATCCCTTTCCTGGGGTCGGTGGGGTCTCGTGTTCCCCACTCCCTTCGTCCATTTAAAACCTTGTCCCCTGGGGTGTCTCTCCACGGAGCGTCCCCGTGCGCCCCTCCTCTTGGCATCTGCCAGTGTTCCCCACGCCCCACACCCGAACCTGCCTTCCAGGACCAGATAACTCACCCCTGCGCCCCCCAGACCTGCCTTCCCCACCATGGCCGGCAGCCCCGTCCTCGACTTCCCCCTGCCCAGCATCCTGCCCAAGGGTTGGCTCCTCTTCGGGCTGAGGCGAGAGGCTCCACCTGGTATCCCACAGGCTCCCGAGCCTGAGACCCCGCTC